TTTTTTTTATTTACTTGTGCAGTGAATAAAGAGCAGTTTTCATTTCGTCTATTTAAAGTAGTTGAAAATAAGAAGAAAACAAAACATTTAAAATGTTTTTCACGTATCCATACCAAACTTCTTTAGAGACAATACGAGTACTTACGGCAACGCTAAATCAAATTTCTTTTATTGTAATCCTACCGTAATGTCAAAATGTGCAAGAACCATACTCTTCCAGATTTGAGATCTTCCCTGTAATGCTGCCGAAGCCTATGTAATTGTGAAAAGAGTTTTAAACAGTGGACGCATTTTTGGTTCAATTTTTTTTGGCACACTTTGGTATGTAAACAACTAGTTTACTTGCACTAGTAACATCCACACCACAATATCAGAAGAAGAACGCACTATGTTTGTTGAAGAACCCGGTTCATCCATTAGAGCTGAGCTTGCTTAATTGGGATCTTTGTCTTTTGTAGTTGTCTGATAATAATTGCATTCATTGGCATTGCAAGTTCAGTCTTTTCCAGGCTCTGTAGATATAAATATTTACAGACTATCAAGCGCAGGCTCAAATTAGAGCTATAACGCAAAACCTGTTTAAATAAAAAAGAATAATGTTATTGTTAAATAAGTTCGTGCCGTTTTCCTTCAAACTCAAAAAAATCTCAATCAAGTTTGGCAACTGTCCATTCTTTGAAAGAAGAAGTCTTCCTTCACAAGATGTACCGCAGTATAGCATTTCCGTCCTTAATTGTGGATGCTAAACATAGAGCTTAGAATTTGTTATTACTAGTAGAGCAAGTTGACATGCTCTCAAAAAATCATATCCACTGACTAGGGCTTTACAATGGAATTACGGTATGTGTACGCTTAGGAATCAAAATTACCCTATTAAGGTTGATCGACATACTGACCATGAAAATAGTAATTATTCCCGAGGACGAAACCATTTCGCGGACGTGATCCAACATTGCTCAATTTTTCTTCTCCGAGCATTTCATCGTATTCAATTCATCAACTCGTTTTCGTAAATGTAATGTATAATAAAGACATGGACTAATTGACAAATTCAAAAATGATTGATTGTACTATTAATATTTATTTCATGTTGAGATTACGAATAATATGCTACCGACAGTAGTATAGGTAAATTTTTTCAGCTACATTTTGCTGTTAATGAGATTTGATGAATCTAGAACCCTATTGAATCTAACTTTGTATTGTAGTAATAGTGGCAAATGCGCTTTTGATTTCGGTATAGAACAATTTCTATTAGGGTTATCAAGCAATTTCTAACCCAAACAATGCGAATAACAAAACACTATCCCAACATCAAGCAGAAAAAGCAAGCAAATGAACAATTGCAAAACGAATTTCATAAGCTTATTAATATTTAACATAATCAAATAATGAAGTGGTATTGTTAGGAATGTACGCTATTTAATGCACCAATTTTAGAAGATCCTTTCCTTGTGATTCCGAAATATGATCGAATTGCTGTGACCTTGCTATTTTATATGTAGTGGATGCTATGTGGTGTTGCAAGTACAGAAGGGTAAGAACGAATTTTATGAAAGTATGCTAGCTATTGAACATAAGCATTTCTGCAGTCTTGCATCTCCTATAACTATTGCTATGTACAATTGGACCTATGAGGAGGCTATCCTATACAATGGAATCTTGCAAGTTGTTTCTTGTGGAATGTCGACCCTAACCTATGCACTAACTGGATCCACAAGAATTGGGACATGGTTTGTGACACAAGTGTTGGTGCATAAGTTAAAAGAGATGTTGTAGGGATCGCAGTCTTGTGCTAGCTCTTGGTCTGTCAGGGTTCTCTTTTGCCATCTTTGTCATTATCCTATGCCATTCTATGAAGGTCCTCTCACACGACCACAAATCGGTAAGCGAAGGTATAGGATACTGCTGTATAACTAGATTTTCCCGTAAATCATTTTTTATGCTTCCCTTACAGTTATAGTCAAAACACTATACTGTAGAAACTCTAAACGTGCACGTGATTATAGTAACAGTACGTTTAATTCATTCTTAATTCCTTTTCTATTTGATATTCATGAGCCCCAGATCCAAGAAACATTATGTCCGTGATTCTTCGTTCTTTTTCTACTATCATGTAATTCAATTTCTTTTGTTTACAATTTTGCAATTTGAAAGACTTGTGTAGAGTAACAAAAGTGGTTTTATATACGATTTGGTCGAAAAAACTGCGGGTGACCAGAAAACATTTTGGGAAATCATGTAACAACCTATGATGTCTTTGTCTTGCTCAATACCCGAGGTTTGCAGTCCAATCATTGCCTTCTCTCTCATTTATGCGTTTTTCTATCCTAAAAGTTAAGAGAGATTCTAAAAAAATAAGTGATGACTCATTCCAGTTAACGGCACAGTAGCAACAGAAGCAGGAGGCTGTTCCTACAAATACGAGTGGTGTGAGTACACACCGAGGTTCATCATTCTTTCAGAGTTCCAATGTTGTTGTATCTATTCAATTTTGGAATTATACAGGGAATGTCCTATCCCCTTATTTCAGCTCCTTCTAATACTCTATTATCCGAAATTATTGGACCAAGAAAACAAGTGATTTTTTTTGTTTTTTTTTTCAAATATAACGCCGATAAGTTGTTTAGCAATTTAGGGTACTATACAAGGATTATTTGCTTTTACTGGTAGCATGGCACAATTTGTGGTGCCTATATTCTCAACGTAAGTCACAAAATCCTATCCTTGGATAACATTTCC